ATATCGAGGCATGTGTCATCCCCGACACAGGAGGACCGCTACGACACCAGCCTGATGATGCGGGCCTATGTGTTAGAGCAGAAGGGCTCGTAAACATTTCGAAAGCGGTCGCTGCATTACGCGTAACACCGCTGGCCGACACATCGCCAGAGACCCTCGCAGCACTACGAGCGAAACATCCAACCGCGAAAACACCAACCCCTGCTGCGGTTACGAGGTACGCCACTGCTTCACTCAGCATCAGCCAGGACGACCTCCGCGAACTTCTCGTAAAATGCCCAAATGGAGTGGAAGCAGGCCCGTCAGGCACCTGTTTCGAGCACCTGAAGGATCCCGCCCACACGAACGAGGAGGCCCTCATACTACTGACGCGCGTAGTTAATCGCCTGCTGGGAACACACCAGACCCAGGAAATCTCCAACCTGCTACTCCCGTCACGCCTCATTGCTCTAGAAAAACCAAGAGGTGGGATACGACCTATAGCCATCGGCAGAACCATACTCAGAATAGTGGCGAAAGCGGCGTTACGCGAATTGGCGCCGAACATAAGAGAATTTTTCCTGCCCGTGCAATACAGAGTAGCAGTCACGGGCGGCGCCGAATGTGTTATCCACACCGTCAGATCGCTCTTAAAGGACGACAGCTCATGCATCGCGCTGCAGCTAGATATCGAGAATGCCTTTAACAGTGTAGAACGTTCCGCCTTCTTCACTGCACTCTCACGGTCTAGCCTGCAGTCGCTCATACCCTTCGTCCGCATGCTCTATGACGGCCCCTCCCGCCTGCTCCTAGTCACACGCTTTGAGGTAGATCATATAGCGAGCTCCAGGGGAGTGCGGCAAGGAGACCCACTGGGTCCACTAGTCCTCGCCGCGGCAATCCAACCTACCCTACTCACTACGGCCACGCTCCTCCCAGAAGTGGCAGTTGTTGCTTACGCTAATGATATTACAATTGTAGGCCCACAGGAGGCAGCGTGTTTAGCATTTGACTCCATCACCCGCGGGCTAGCAAGGTGCGGGCTAAGATGCAACATCGGCAAGTCTTCAGCATGGACACCCAATGGGACAGAGGCCCAGGACGGTATGCCGCCATAGGGTTTAGCATTGAGCAGAGAAGGCATCCAGGTGCTGGGCAGCCCCATCGGTACGGAAGAAGTCTGCACCAGCCAAGTTGTCGCGAAACTCACTGACGCCTCCGCACCACTCCCATTGGTCGCCCAGATGCACCCTCAACACGCCCTGCTCATCATCTCCCGAAGCATCAGCAGGAGGGTGTCCTATCTGCTGCACACTACACCATCGGAGGCGCTGCCGAGAGAGATCGAGGGGATGGAGCGAAACCCTGCTGAATGCAGCACTCACCTCGGCCAAACTACGGATGCCCAGGAGCGAGCTCGAACAGAGCCTGCTCTGGCGACAGGCAACACTCCCAATACGGCTTGGGGGGCTGGGCATAGTGGACCCAACCTCGTAGGCACCGGCTGCACACATTGCATCAATCACGGCGGCGCAACAACTCCTGCAGCAGATGAACGTTGAGGAAGAGCATCTACTGAGCCGGGCTACAACGCTGCTCTCTCACACATGGAACCCGGAGCCCCCAAGCAGCAACCCGCTCACGGCACTGGAAGAGGAACTCCCTGCAAGCGCGCGAGCGGCTCTGCAGGCCTTTAGAGAACGACCACCAGACGCCGGCAACCTGCAATTGCTTCTATCCAGGCACATCTGGGAGACAAGAGTGAGGGAGCTCGTAGCCGACACCATGATGGATAGGCCAGGGAAAGACAACGGGCATGCAGTGAGACTAATCGGCCTGCAGGGAACAGGGGCAAGGGATTGGCTGCACGCTGTGCCAACGAGGGCTGACGTTATATTATTCCCTGGTCAGCTCTCGATGGCGTTGGGCTTCCGCCTAGGCATGCAACTGCCGGTTACAGTAAAGTGCCCTTGCAAGCGGAAAAATTCAGACATCCAAGACACCTCGCTCCAAAATCACCTACTCAGATGTACGGACGGAGGGGACGTGGTTAGAACACATGACGCACTAGTGTATGCGGCACTCAGGATGGCGAAAGAGGCAGGTTTCTCCACCATCTATGAAACCACCACCTTCTCCCCCCCGGTGCTACGTAAGAGAGCGGATCTAGCAATCCAGGACCAGGAATCGGGTGAAACCTTTGTCACGGATGTGACCGTGATGAACCCGGTCCTACAGAGACGTGACACTAGAGCACGGAAGCCGCCAGGGTGGGCGGCAAAGGAGGCATTCGAGAGCAAGCATAGGCTCTACGAGGGACGACCAGACTATGTGGGGTTTTTTGGCTTGGCAGTTGAGACATACGGGGCCCTGGCAGCTGATACGGTGCAGTTTTTGCAGCTGCTAGCAAACTCGGCAGCGAAGAAGAAGTACCGCCAAGGTAAGCTGACCACCACGGCTGCACGGCTCACGGCACATTACAGGCAGCGATGGTCCATAATGCTCCATCGTAGCCAGGCAGTGTCCTTCCTCTCCAAATCAAACCGAGCTGCAGAGGCGGCCTTCTCTCAGAGACCCACAGATCCGTGGGAGCCTAGCTTGGGCGACGTATGGCAGGTGCTAGATGATGAGATGGAGGGGGTAATGAGGGAGTAGGGCGGCATGAGCTGGACAGGAATGGCAGCCTGAGCAGGAAGGACAGGGGTAAGGGCCGGAACTGAAGGAAGGTGATTGGGCTATGGGCTGGTCGAAGGATACCGGGCGTGCATTATAGTGGGTAGCAACTGCATGTGACTATATCTTGCAGGGCATGATTGCATGAATATCTAGAGTAGACAACGGCCTAGTTTCTACTCCTGCCATGCTTGTACCTTTCTGATCCTATCAATGAAGGACCGCTTGAGAGAGAGAGAGAGAGAGAGAGAGAGAGAGAGAGAGAGAGAGAGAGAGAGAGAGAGAGAGAGAGAGCAGCGAGCGAGTCCTACTGCTCCTCACAAAGGTCATCGGCCAGCTACTTAACAGTTCACAGACAAGGGAGATATGCGACGTGCTCCTCCCGTCACGGCTGATCCCATTCCCGGCCTTGGTGAGGCTTGGCCTGGTCTTGGGCTTCCCCATGCTCGTTGTGGTTACGCCTGGGGGTGTTGTGGTGGGTACTTATACTGGTGCTGCATGTTATGTGTTGTAATCTTTGTTGTTATAGTGCTTAGTCCCCTTCTCCTTGCCACCCCTAACGCGCGGCCGAAGGCCGCTTCGGCGGCCGGCGCGAGCCGCTAGGTTGGGGAGATGACTCACCAAACAATTAATGAGGGGCAGGCTGCAGGTTGTGAGCTTAAGAATGAACTTGTACTCACTATAGGCTGTGGGAATGGGCTACACTAAGAGAGAGGTTGGCCTAGCTGCTCCTACTACTAGGCTACACATAGGAGGGGAGAGGGCTGCTGCTAGAGACTAAGGACCAGCTCCCTATTCTCTCTCTCTCTCTCTCTCTCTCTCTCTCTCTCTCTCTCTCTCTCTCTCTCTCTCTCTCTCTCTCTCTAACGGTCCTTTGTATTGATAAGTGTGGTTCGGTACAAACATGCATATTCTAGGCCAGGGCATGTCTAGCATGAAGACTAGCAAACGGGGTCGAGCAACGACAATACAAAACCTTCAGAACACACACCCCTAGTCCCTCCCCAACCCCCCCCCCCCCCTATCTAAGGTGCCTCGAGCGTTGCGAAGCAGTCCCCCGGGTTCACCTCCCCCTCTGGTCTTCCCAGTAGGGGGTTCTCTGCCCTTGCCGCCTGGTTCAGCTTTGTGAGAAAGCTCACCGCCTGGGCTCTCTGGAGTGCGACCGACCAGCGCTGGCGGAACTGGTGGAGCATCTTCGCGGCCTGGTAGGTAGACGGGTCCGCGTTGAAGATTCTCCGTGCAGCTTTGTCCGCCAGCAGCTTCAGGAACGTGGGCACCTCGTCGCACGGGCAGCCGTAGGTCTCTACCGCCAAGGGGAAAAATTCAGCAAACTCAGCCCTGCCGTGGTAGAGGTCTATCTTCTTGTCCGCTGCCTCCCGCGCTGCCCAACCCCTCCCTTTCCTTGCGGTCTCATCCCGCTTACTGATGGGGTCCGTTATGGTGATGTCTGCCAGCCATACCGCCCCCGAGCTCCCATCCCTGAAGGCCAAATCGGCCTTCTTGTTGTCTACAGGGCTAAAGGCCGTGCACTCCTTATGCACGGCAAATCCTGCATCCTGCGCCATGCGGATGCACTCGTCGCGCAGCTCGTTGTGGGTGTTGGTCCGACCGTGCCCTGTACCGCACCTAAGCAAGTGGTTCGGCAGCCTCTTATCCAGGATGGGGACCCGTTTGGTGCAGTCGCAGCAGTCGGGCACAGACAGGGGCAGGCCGAGCCTAAACTGGAGGGCGAACTTGAAGTGGCAGGGGTATAGGCGTAGGGAAGGCATGTAGGGGATTGCCATGAGCCAGTCCCCCGCCCCATAGCCCGTGAGGGACATGAGGCGCTGGGTGTGGCCCAGCCGGGGGTTCAGTTCCATCTGTCTGGATGCTGTGATCTGGGCGGCACTCCGGCCCCCTTGGACTAGGAGTGCTAAGCGGTGTTGCAGCTGGCCCTTGGGTTTTGTCTGCTCCGCCGATAGAAGATCCCTCGCCTCCTGCGAGAGGCTGTCCCTGCAGTCCCTGATCCACTGCTGCAATTCGGTGGGGCTGCGATCAGCTGCTGCGGGGGTGTCCAGTGCTGCTGTCAGTATGGCCCCTGCCTGTCCCCCCAACTGGCTGAGGAGTGAGTGTGCCTGCACGAGACTCGCCAGAAAACTGTATCGGCCTTCCACTGTAGGGTCGGCGAGCTCAGGCCGCCTAGGCTTGGAGGGAGTGAGGCTTGGTCCCAGATCCGTGCGTCCTCTGCCTCGCCTCTCGGGTGGCGCACCCCACAAGCATCTAGAAGCGTGTACAGCATTGCCCGGCCCCATCTTGACCACTCAGCTTCGGGTAGCAGGTAAAGAGGTGTGGTGCGTGCTAGGTACGAGATGCGCCTGGAGATACACCGTGTTAGTAGCAGCGCCGCTACTTGTGGGTCCATGGTGGCTATGTGGGGTAGTGGAGACGACATTGTCTCCAGCTGTGACCGTAGAAAGGCCGCTGCCCCGTTCGTCGTGCCTATGAAGCTCCCAAGCACCCGCAATCCCTCCGCGTGCAGCGGGACCCCCTCGGGCAGCTTCTGGGGATCTGTGGCTGCTGCACTCCATGCGGCGCACTTCTCTGGGTTGTGGGTCAGTCCCACATCGCGCAATCCCGTCGTGAAGTGACGGAAGGCGTCAGAACAATCCGCAGCAGGGCCCAGGAATGTGACGTCGTCGGCAAACGCGAGGCACAGGACTGATGGGTAAGCTGCTGCTGTCCTGGAAAGAATAGGGTGGATCCCCGCGGCAAACAGTAGTGGGCCTAGCGGGTCACCTTGTCGCACACCCGTTTCGCTAGCCAGAGCCTCGCAACCGAATCCCGCGTCAAGGAACAACTGGGCTGGGCGGCTATAGGATATTTTTACGAGGGGAAGGAGGCCCTGGAGGTCTGTGTCGCGAAGTGCGCCGACTATCGCTGCACGGCTAATGGAGTTAAACGCATTTGCTAGGTCCGCCTGCAGGATAAGCGCGTCTGGGTTTGCGCTAGTGAAGGCTCTCGCGGCGTGGATTATCGCCTCGCTGCCGCCTTGGACGGACACGCAGTATTGTAGCGGGAGGAAGTGTGCGCGGCATTCGTGAGAGAGGGCTGAGAGGGTGGACTTAGCTGCTAACCGTAGGATACATTCGCCTACCGCGATGGGTCTAGTGCCTCCGTCTGGCTTTGCTAGAGCTATGAGGCGGCTAGCAGTTAGTAACGAGCAAATCTCCTCAGGCAGCCTGCCTTGCAGGATGGTGTTGACGAGGGCAAAGAGGTGTGTGGTAACCCCCGCGTTGGCGAGTGATGCGTCGCGGAGGTGTTCAAATGTCATACCCGAAGGCCCTCCTCCCACCCCGTTCTCACAGCGACATAACATTTTAATGAAGTCCCCTTTTTCCATCGAAGCAGCTTGTACAGAATCGGGGATGCTCCAATCGATGGATCCAGGTGGCACGGGGGGGTGTTTCGCTTTGAGAGCGGCGAGGATAGTTGCAGATGGGTCAGCGACCGGCGTTGACTCAAGGGCGAGGATCGCCCTGCGAAGGCTGCCTTTTCGTGCAAGGCCTTCTGCCCTGGTTCGTTTGCCTATGGCATCTGGCGCATGACGAGGTGGGTGGGGTCCGGTAATTGCGGTAACCGCCGCGTCGTACAGCTGCTGCCATTCGCCCTTGTTGAATTGGCGAAGTCGTTGCTTGACTGCCGGCCAATCGGGCTTCTCGGTTGACGGGAGGCGAAGGGTGAGGCGCGGGATAAAAAGTAACAGGCGCCAGCCTGCGACCGACGCGGGGTTCCGCGCGAGGTGGAGGAGTGGTGTCAGGAGGGCAGTTGCGAAAAGTGGGCGAATGTCAGCGGGGAGTTTACGCGACAGTGGGGGCTGACGACTGTCGCGTAGGGGGGACAGGTCCCAATTTTCCACTTCGCCGAACCGCACCAAGTCCTTGGCCAGTTGTTCAGGCGAGAATTGGCGGGTCTCTGATGCGGTGGTGTCCGGTCCTGGCTGGTTCGATTCGCCACCTGCTGCAGCTGGGATTGGGGCGGCTCGGCATGGTGTTGGGTTTCCCCGGCGCCTGCCTTCCCGTTCCTCCTCCACTAGCTCCCCCGATTCTTCCGTGGTGGATTCTTCCACCACCTCTGCTATAAAGGTAGGGTCTCTCCCCTCCTCCTCAGCTTCATCGTCTTCCACTCTTCGAGTTAAGGCGCGGCGTGCTTCCCTCTGGAAGCCATTCTCCGGTCCGCCTCCCCTTCCAGTCGCTCCTCCTCGTCCGCACCCTCGTCCGCCCCGCGATGCCCGTGTCGATTGGCGACGAGTATTATTCGTACTCGCCGCGGCCTTTTGTCGTGGCGTCGGCCGCAAGTGCCCCTCCTGCCTCATCGTCCCCGGCGCCTGCGGCTGTGGGGATGTCGCCTCTTCCCGCACCTCGATCTGCGCCGTCGTCGGTGACTCAGGCTGGCCGTGTCCTCGCGCCTGCTGCCCCGCCCGTTCCCGCCGAGGCGAAGTTGTCTGCCCCTGGCGTGGCGCCTGGTCATGCGCCCGCGACGCCACCTGCTCCCGCGCTCGCCCCGGCGTCCGCTCCCGCCCCTGCCCCTGGGTCTGTTGTAGCGTCTGATCCTGCGCACGCTTCTGCGCCTGCGCCGGTGGTTCCACCTGTCCCCGTGGTGGTGCCGGCGCCCGTGCCTGTGGTTGCGGCGTCGTCAGCTGCTGTTGGAGAAGCCTCCGCGCCGCCGCCGGTTGCGCCTGCCGTGGCGCCTTCTGCAGCTGCTGGTGCGGACCCGACTTACCAGCCACCTCCAGCCACCAGCGTCGGCCTGAGCTCGGCGGAGGTTCAGTCGGCTCGCGTGTCGCCTCCGGATGCTCCTGCGCCTCTGCCTGCGGCAGTAACCGTGCCGCCTCCGACCAATCCTGCGGGTACTGCTCCCGCATCCCTTGCTCCTGTTCCTCCTGCTCAACGTCCTTCGTCCCCGGGCCGTCGTCAGCATCGGCCCCATTCCCCTGCGCCGCGTGACGAGCGAGAGACGTCCCGGCGGCGGCACGATTCACCTCGCCGCCGTGGTTCGCAGGCGAACTGGGCTGCCCCCCGTGGCGGCCGAGGGGGCTGGTGGGGAGGGCGTGGTCGCGGTGGCGGCTGGGTGTATGATCAGCCGGTGACGATGGCTGACTTGCAACGAGTCGTGTCCGACGCAATGCGCGAGGAGCGGAACGGGCGGGCGAGCCTGAGCAATTCGCCGCGCCACGCTCCTGTGCCGGTGTCTCATCCTCCGCCTGCGCCCGCTCCTCCTCTTCACGCGACTGCCGCACCTCCTCTTCAAGCTCCCGCCGCGTCTGCTGCTGCTCGTGGGAACCGTCTCCGGCTGCCGTGGGTTCCTCCTGTGGCGGGCGTGGAGTTTGTGACTGCGGGCGGGGGACCAGTGACGCCGCAGTATCCGTCCCTGCTGCCTGTAGCTCCTGATCCTTCGGCAGCTGATCTTCCGGTACAGTCGCTGGTTGGGCCTTCTCCTTCGGTGGATGTGCCCGAGGCGTCGCTCGGGCAGCTGTGGCGTCTCTCTGAGGGTCTGCGGGCTGTTCACCTGATCCAGGTGTATTGCCACGCGGCTCTTTCTCGTGGCGTGCCTCTGGTAGGCGGCCCTCTGGACGAGTGCTCGGATGCCGCTGACAGGATTGCCGAGCTCCTAGCGCCCGTGTTGGCTGCGCCCGCGCGGGGTGGAGTTGCGGGCGTTGGACAGCTTTGGACTGCGCTCCGTGGTTTGCGCCGGGTGATGCGCGCAGCGACTGCAGTCGACCTGATCGGCGCAACCACTGTGGTGGTGCGCGAACTTCATCGCTCGCTGACGGGTCTTCTCGGCGTCCTTGATGCGGATCAGATGTAGCATCCGCCTTTCCCTGCGTCATGATGTTCCCGTGTGTTTCCTAGGCAGGTGTAGGTGTAGACATTTCGTGTATGTCTTGGTTTATTGTTGCTTGTGCTTTTCCTCCTTGCCGTCCCCTTCACGCGCGGCCGAAGGCCGCGCTGTCGAGCGTCGGCCGCCGAAGGCGGCCGGCGCAAGCCGCTCGGTTAGGAGAACAAATGACGGCTGAAATGAATAATGAGAGCCAATGACCTGGTCCTAGGCCTTTATACTAGGCTGGAGAGGGCTGGAGAGGCTAAGGACTAGGCCTCTCTCTCTCTCTCTCTCTCTCTCTCTCTCTCTCTCTCTCTCTCTCTCTCTCTCTCTCTCTCTCTCTCTCTCTCTCTCTCTCCCTCCCTCCCTCCCTCTTTCAGGCGCGACCGGGCAGAGCCTGACGGGCATGACGGGACGGGACGTGTAGGCGTAGGCGCCTTGGGCGCGACCGGTAAAAAAAAAAAAAAAAAAAAAAAAAAAGCACACTTCGCGCTGCAGCGGGGGCGGGCCCATGCTCCTTGAAAGAAAGTAGTGTGTCAAAACATATATGCTTGTATGTATTTAGGCTGTATGGGGATTAGCACTAAGGGGTACAAAACTTTTCACCTAGTTGATATCATTCCTACCTAATTTCAACATGGTATTATGAGCAGTTAGGTCTTTAGGACCGTTTTTTAACTGGGCCCACCATTAGTTCCTCCCATTTCACTGCCCGAATCGCGCCCCTAGGGCGCGTCAATATTTTTCTGCTCACATCGAGCCCCGCGCGCTGCCTTACAGCCCGCGCAAGCCCCGATCCCCTGCACTCGCGAGTGCCCCGCCGCCCAGCGCTTACGCGCACCTCGTTGCTCTATGCCCTGCTGCCACGCGCAGTCCGTACAGCCCGCGCAAGGCCCGCGCGCAGCCCGTACAGCCCGCTCCAGGCCCGCGCACAGCCTGTACAGCCTGCGACAGGCCCACACGCAGCCCGTACAGCCCGCGCGCACCTGCCCTGCCCCACGTGTCAGCCCTGCACTGCCCGCGAGCGCCTGCCCTGCGCTCCACCGATGACCCGCGAGCTGCCCGCGCACTGCCCTGTGCGCGCCCTGCCAAGCCGCAGCTGCTGCCTGCTGCTGCCGCCACTACTGCTGGCTGCCGTTGCTGCTACTGGCCGCTGCCACTGCTGCCCTGCCCTGCCTGGCCGCCGCCAACGCTGCCCTGCTGCCGCCATTGCTGCCGGCCACTGCCACCGCTGCTGCCGGCCGCTGCCACTGCTGCCCTGCCTGCCCGCGCTGCTCAGCGCTGCCCTGCCCCGCCTGGCCACCGCCATCGCTGCTCTACTGCCGCCACTGCTGCCGGCCACTGCCACTGCTGCTGCCGGCCGCTGCCACTGCTGCCCTGCCTGCACGCGCTGCTCATCGCTGCCTTGCCCTACCTGGCCGCCGCCACTGCTGCCGTGTTGCCGCCACTGCTGCCGGTCACTGCCACTGCTGCTGCCGGCCGCTGCCACTGCTGCCCTGCCTGCACGCGTTGCTCAGCGCTGCCCTGCCCTACCTGGCTGCCGCCAGCGCTACCCTGCTGCCGCCACTGCTGCTGCTGGCCACTGCCATTGCTGCCCTGCCTGCACGAGCTGCTCAGCGCTGCCCTGCCCTACCTGGCTGCTGCCAGCGCTGCCCTGCTGCCGCCACTGCTGCTGCTGGCCACTGCTGCTGCTGGCCATTGCCACTGCTTCTCTGCCTGCACACGCTGCTCACCGCTGCCCTGCCCTGCCTGGCCGCCCCCAGCGCTGCCCCGCTGCCCTGCTACCGGCCACTACCACTGCTGCTGCCGGCCGCTGCCACTGCTGCCCTGCCTGCACGCGCTGTTCAGCGCTGCCCTGCCCTGCCTGGCTGCCGCCAGCGCTGCCCTGCTGCGGCTACCACTGCCGGCCACCGCCTCTGCTACCGCCACTGCTGCCAGCCGCTGCCACTGCCATTGCTGCACCTCCAACTAGCACCCTGCCCTGCCCTGCTTGCGCGCCTGCTGCTGCTACTGCCGCTGCCGCCCTTGCTACCACCTGCGCGCGCTCCTACAGTTGCTACCGCTATTGCACCTAGCACTGCTGCCACTGCACCTACCGTTCCAGCTACTGCCACTGCAGTCGCTACTTCAGCCCTTGAGCCACTACAGCTAACTAACACTGCCTACCAGGCCACTACCACTGTCCTGCGTCAGCGGCAGCTGAGTGTGCCGGAGTCTCTCTCGCCGCAGCAGCTTCGCGAGTTGGCTATCTGGTGGGGCAGCCCCAGTGGCGGAGCTAGCCGTGCTCGTCGGCGGCAGCCACTTACGCCACAGTAACGTCGTGAGTGGGCGGTCCGGTGTGGCAGCCCCAGTGGAGGAGCCTGGGGTGCTACTACTGGAGGTACCTGTGAGTCTACTCCTGCTAGTAGTGCCGTTTGTAGACGTGGAGGTTCTGGGGATGGACAGCAGTTGCAGCAGCGTCCGTCGGAGACTCTCTCCCCGCAGCAGCTTCGTGAGTAGGCTGTCCGGTGGGGCAGCCCCGGTGGCAGAGCTTGGGGTACTAATGCTGGGGGTGGAGAGGCACCTGGTGGTGTAGAGGCTCCTAGTCTAGGTGCTTGTGACTCAGCTAGCACAGGTGCAGAGTCTGAGGAGGCCTTACACCCTTTCCTACTCGGCTCAGACGCGTCTCGCTGCTTCTTCCGCGACTGCACCACAGTCACACCGCACACAGCCCTTGTCTCTGTCACTCTGGCCGATCCCTCTAGTAGCCCAGTTGTTTCACGTAGCTCCACTGTTCTCCAGTGTCCCGCAGCCCCCTTTGGTTCCCTCACAGGTTTCAACCTCCCCTCGTTCACTAAGAACTTAGTGGCTACAGCTGTCCTACAGGACCAGTTTGTCACTGTTACCCAGCCTGGGGGAGAGCTCATGGTGATCTGTACAGACTCACGCATTGGTGAGCACCTCGCCACGTTCACTCGGATGCCTGGGTCTGGCCTGTACACACTGACCACTGAGTCCGCACAGGTGGCTGAGTCAGGTCAAGTAGTTGCGTCGGTTGAGGTAGCTGCGTCTTGTTTGTGTCGTCTCCTTACGCACCAGACTCTCCTCTGGCACCACCGTCTTGGTCACCCCTCCTTGCCATGCTTGCGTGGCATGCACTCCCGTCTCCTTGTGTTTGGCCTCCCCAGGTCCCTGCCCCTGCTCCCGATGTCGCTTGCGCTGCCGTGCCTTCCCTGCGTCAAGATGCGGCAGCGCGCCGCTCCTCACTCCTCCTCGTTTCCTGCGACCACAGCTACTCTGCAGACCCTCCACATGGACTTGTGGGGTCCAGCCCGCGTCACTGGACAGGGTGGAGAGCGATACTTTTGGCTGGTTGTTGATGACTACACGCGCTACACCACGGTCTTCCCCTTGCAGAGCAAGACGGATGTCCGCTGTGTGTTGATCTGCTGGATCCGTGCTGTCCGTCGCCAGCTCAGCGCTCGGTTCCAGCAGGACCTCCCAGTCTTGTGGCTGCACTCTGACAGAGGTGGTGAGTTTTGCTCCCGCCTCCTCGAGGACTTCTGTGGTGCTAAGGGCATCACCCAGTCGTTCACGCTTCCGGCCTCTCCGCAGCAGAATGGGATTGCAGAGCGTTGCATTGGCTTGGTCATGGAGGTTGCTCGCACCTCCGTGATCCATGCGGCTGCTCCCCATTTTTTGTGGCCGTTTGCGGTCTGATACGCCGCTGAGCAGCTCAACCTCTAGCCCCGTGTCTCCCACCCGGAGATCTCCCCTACTCTGCGATGGACGGGAGAGGTTGGTGATGCGTTGGTGTTTCAGGTCTGGGGTTCCCTTGCTCTTGTCCGCGATCTTCCCGCGGGCAAGTTTTCTCCTCGCACTCTTCGCTGCATCTTCCTTGGCTTCCCTAACGAGTGCTCAACTTCTTGGGCTATTGTCTTCTTCCTCCTCTTGTAAAAACCTGTATTCAAATTTCACTTAGGACAATTGCCCGTGCTGACTCCTCACATGAACACTCATAGCTCAGATGTGCCTCCAATGTGAGCCATGCAAGTATACAGTTGTAAAACGGATTTAACCGTTGAATGGCGCGAGCAACCGAATTGTACCTGTGGCGAAATCATTCCGCAATGCGGTGTGACATTCGCGAGAAATTACCTGTCCCGCGAGTCAACGCGAAATACAGTTTTTCAACTGTAATTACAAGCACCCCCCACGTGCCACACGCCACAACAGAAAGGGACGTGGCTCGAGATTCAGTTATTCAACTGAAATCTCTAGTCAAACCTCGAGCACCCCTCGCTATCCCCTGGCACCCCCCGAAACACACGCGCACCCCTCAGGTGCACAATCATGCACGACCAGGCAAACTGGTCGTGCTGTACTGCGCGTGGGCAGGGCGATCATTCGCTCTGTCCTGTTGCGATCGTGGGCCCTGCCACACTCGAGACAATGCGCGAGCACACGCTCGGGCCCTCAGGGCCCACACGCGAAATCAAGACCACACGCACGCTCAAGATTTCGCGTGCTTGACCAGCGCGAAAGTCAACACACTCCCCAGTCAAACTATCGAGCCCCACAAACACCCCATGATACACCACTCGGTCGCATGAGCCACGAATGAAACATTACACACAAATGAGACTTTCATGGGAAGCTCATTTGAGGCTCATTAGAGCTTCATGAGAGCTTTCATTTGAGCTTCATTTGAGCGCGTCATGGGAGCCTCATTTGAGCGCTTCATGAGAGCTTCATTTGAGCGCATCATGTGAGCCTCATTTGAGCACATCATGAGAACAACAAACACGAAACTGAAAGAGCACAAACACAAAACTCAATTGCAAATGAAAACGAAACACACAAAAATGCAAGGACGCATGCGCACAGAACACACACAAAATGCGCACACACAAAATGCAAAATGAAAAGACATTTCTCACGCCACAAATTACCTTCAAACAAAAACTCCCCATTTTCTTTTACCGTCTGCGAATAGGCGGTAGGTTGCC